AAAAGGGAAACATAAAAAAAGAAAGAAAACTATAGGCCAATATCATTAGTGAAAGCATTGAACCAAAATTTTTAAACAAAATCTTGTTAGACTACAGCTATTTATCCAAGAAATAACTCATTATGACCAAGTAGAATTTATACCAGGGATGAAAGGATGGTTTGACATTAGAAAAATCACATAATTAATCATATTAAAAATCAAAACATCCCAAATTACATGATCATCTCCAGACCTATAACAAATAGTAGTGGGGTGAGTAGACATTCACTCTCATATTTATTGGAAAACATTTTTGTGTATCCTCATTGAATATGATGCTTACTTTTGGTTTTATATTGTTGCTTTCTATGATATTAAAAAGGACCCTTCTAGGCCTATACTTCATAGGAATCTTAGCATAAAAGAGAAAGGGAAATATCACTTTAAATAACTATGAAATCTATAAAATATCTGGGGAATGACCTAACTAGCACACAAAAGACATGTACAGATTCAAATTACAAAATTCTCTTTAAAGAATTAAAGAACAACTAAAATAATTGGAAGAATATTCAGTGCTCAAGGCAAGGCCATACTAACATAATAAAAATGACGATACTATCAAATTTAATTTGTACTTTAATGCTATGTCAATTGAATTATAAGGGAATACTTTTTGGAATTTGATAAAATAACAACAAAATTCATTTGGAAAAACAAAAGGAAGAGGTCAAATGGGGAAAAAACTGATTTTTTTTTCTCTGATCAAATTTCTCACTAAGACCTAGAAGCAATTATGTATGTATGTATATAATATGTGTGTGTGAGTACACACACTCACACAGACACACACACACACATAAAACTAATAGCCATTCCCCCAAAGGATAAGTGGCCAAAGGATATGAACAAAGAGTTCTCGAAAGAAAAATTAGAAAGTATTCATGACCATATAAAAAAATGCTCCAAATCCCTAATAATTAGAGAAATAAAAACCAAAGATTTTTATCTCACACCTTGAAAGTGGATGAGGACGAGGGGAAAAAAGTGGCAATAGACAATATTGGAAGAATTGTGAAAGGATAGGCAGAGTAATACATTGTTGGTGGAGTTGTAAAATGGTACAACAACTTTGGAAAGCAATTTGGAATTATGCAAATAAAGTGACTAAAATGTCCATAACAGGGCTGGGGAACCTTTCCATGTTGGAAGGCCACATTAATATTTAGCTGTAATCAAATAAAGCTACATTCAAGAAACTTCAATTAGATATACTTTAAAATGTACATTATTTTGTAAAATTCTAACTACTTATATACTTAATAATTTCAAAAAATAAAAACTGTTTGTTAATTTTAAAGTTAACTAACTTTTTAATGATTTTGTTGTGTCTGCTTTTTGCTAGAAAGCATTTGAATATTTGTTTGCAGCATGGAAGTCCACAGTTTCAGTTGATCCTTTAGATGGAAATCAGTCATTTGTGACCTTAAGGGTATCTTGATTTGGACATTTCCAACTTTGTACTAGACATCTCCAAATGGATTTCCTATAGACATCTTAAACAACATGTCCAAAATAGAACTCATGTCTCCCTGGACACACATCCTCCCTTCTTCCTATTATTTTCCCTATTATTTTCAAGTACACTACCATCTTCCTAGCCTCAAAAACTAGGCATCATCCTAGATTCATTACTCTTTCTCAGCCCCTTATTTAGTCTTTTGCCAAGTCTTGCCACTTCTTCCTTCATAACATTTCTTGTATTGCCCCCTTCTCTCCTCTGACAGTGACACCACCTTGGTGAAGGCCTTCGTTATTTCAAACTTCGACTATTTTAATAGCCTTCTAGTTGGTCTCCCTGATTCAAATCTCCCCTCACTTTAATTCATCCTCCACTCTGCTGTCAAAGTGATGTTCCCAAGGTGCAGGTCTGGTTATGTCACTGCCCCCTTCCCTTCAATAAACTTCACATTGCTTCCAGAATCAAATGTAAAATCCTCCCCTTTATAAGTTGGCCCCCCTTGGAGACAGATGGTGCAGATTGCTCGGCCTAGAGTCAGGAAAAGCTGAGTTCAAATTCAGCCTTAGACACTTAATAGTTGTGTAACCCAAGGCAAATCACAACTTTTGTTTGCCTCAGTGTCACCATTTGTAAAACAGGGATAATAATAGCATTGGGACATTGTTGCAAGAGTCACGTGAAATAACATTTATAAAGTATTTAGCACAGTGCCTAGTCCATAGTAGGCTCTGAATAAATGCTTCTTCCTTGGGCAGCCCTTCCCCTCCTAATTTTGCAGTCTTCTTACAATTATCATAGATTATTCTGTGATGCAGTGACACTGGTCTCCTTGATGCTCCTCACTCACAAAACTGTATCTCTGAACCTCTAGCATTTTCAATAGCTGTCTGCTATGCCTGAAATTCTTTGCCACTTCATCTCTGCTTCCTGGCTCTCTTTACTCCCTTTCAAGTCCTAGCTAAAATCTCATCTTCTACAAGAAGTCTTTCACAACCTCTCTTGATGCTATCTCTAATTTTTCCTGTATACAGCTTGTTTGCATATAGTTTGTATATAGTATATAATTGTTTGCATGTCTTTTGCCTATATTTGTATGCCCAGTGCTCAGCACAGTGCCTGAACATAGTAGGTGCTTAAATAAATGCTTATTGACTGATTGACTGACTGTCCCTCTATTGGGGGGGGGAGCAGAGTCAGACTTGTATGTAGGGAAGCAGTGTTCATCCCATAATAGATTTAGGTCCAAGTGGAACTCTCAGCGTTCTTGCCCATACACAGGGGGAGAGTGATAGTAACGTCCATTGTACTCCTGATGTTATTTATGTTATTCCTACTCATTATAAACTGCAAAATTTTACATCACCCACACAAACAGATTGTTTAGATCTGGGACCCAGTCCTTTCAAAGTGGGGAGGCAAAGGTGGAATTTCTTATATTCCTTATCCCATATTCAATGACTCCTTGAGGAGGCTGTTAGATTATTTTGGTTTTTGCTGTATGCAGCATTTATCTCCATGAGTTCAAATCCAGCTTCAGACACTTCCTAACTGTGTGACCCTGGGCAAATCACTTAATCTCTATTTGCCTCAGGTTCCTCATCTACAAAATGGAACTAATAATAACAACTCCCCCCAGGGTAGTTGTAAGGATCAAATGAGATAATAATTATAAACAGTTTAATACAGTGCCAGGCACAAGGTAAGCATTATATAAATGTTAGTTATTATTATCAATGTTCATTATTATTATTATTATTATTATTATTACTTAATGCTCTAGGCTGCTGATTAAGGTGCTGACCTGTGCTTACAGAGAGAGTTTTGTCTCCTGGGAGTTCTCTATCATAATGAAATTACAGTTCCTATACCCCTATATCCTAATATGAAAACATTCAAAGATTCAGAGGCCTGGTTTACTTATTGCAATACTCATTATTACACCAAGTGAGTAAACATTCCAGTAGTCTTTGAAATAAAGCAATTTTCCAAATGAAAAAAGAAAACTTCAGTGTTTATTTTTGTTGTTTAGTCATTTTTTCAGTCATATCTGACTCTTTGTGACCCCTTTTGGGGTTTTCTTGGCAAAGATACTGAAATGATTTGCCATTTCCTTCTCTAGCTCATTTTACAGATGAGTAAACTGAGGTAAATAGGGTTAAGTGACTTTCTCAGGGACACAGAGCTAGTAAATGTCTGAGGCTGGATTTGACCTCATGATGATGAGTCTTCCTGACTCTAGGCCAGGCACTCTATCCACTATGCCACCTAACTGTCCCTAGTGTTTCTTTAGTTCTGTGTAAATGTTTATCATTCCATACTATTTGGAATACATTTTAAGAAGCTTCCTCTAAAAATGGAAATCACTATGTAAATATAAAAATGATAATAGGAATTCTAAAAGTTTGGACAACTCTCCTTTGCTATAAAGTTAATTCCTTGCTAAATTTTTATTTCCACTATAGTAAATATGCTCACTCTCCCCAAAATAAAAGTCATATCACCCGTGAGAGAAAGGGGTCAGCACAGCAGAAAGATATTCCAGGCTGAGAAGGTCCCAGGTGCTGAGGGAAGTTCTAGGATGAGAAGGCAGCCTAATCATAGTGACAAAGTTTAGAATCAGAAGCATAGCTGAAAAAATGGGCAGACTAAAAGTTAACACAGTTTCTATATTCACTGGCCCCCCAAGGTCCCATTCAAATGCAGCATTACTGCTAGATAAGTCTTAGCTACTCATGGGCTGCATACCAAAGGTCATTCCTAAATGTCACTCCTTGTTCTTTGGAGTTTCAGTGTTAACCTGACTCCAAAAGCAAGATGTTGATACACTACAACACCAGAGTGTCCAGTCCCTCCACCTAGAATGGAACAAATGCTAAGGTGACAAAGAGCTTAGTCTTGAATTCACAAGTTACATGGAGTTCCCAAGGCCAAACACCCTCAGTGAAAGAATGCAAGAAATCGACCAACAGCACAACCAAAAAGAAAAATGTTCAATACCCTTACTAGTGTCTTTTTGAAAGCCTCTATATCCAAAGAACTTTCTATTCACCACATAGATTACCAACTAGAACCAGTTACAGAATATCTACACATGTCTCTCCAAGGCACTTCAATTATGTGTCATGATGAAATATCCTCCCTAGCCTTTCCATTTGCCAAGACTATCAGAATCACTCTGCACATGTGACAAATGGCTGTTATACCACAATTGCATATCATACACAGGTGTGATACTAGTACAGGTGATAATTTAGATGATAGAAGTATATAGTTTGCTTGTTTTTTTTGAAGACTAATGATAGAATCCTATGTGATTCTTGAATTCTTCATGAAGACATCATAAAAATCAATTAAGTCACATACAGATGACATTACCTTGGTTACTTTCAAGCTAGGAATCACATGGCTCCACCAAGCAAAACAAAGTATGGAAACTGAGTATGCTGCCCTGGGAGGATGGATTTTCGATGTTCGTAACAAACAGATCGAACTCAGCATGTTCCCACTCGAGAACGTGGGACCGAAGCTAGACCCGGAGGAGCTCAAGCACAAGACGCATGAGGACATGGTCTCCTTGGTCCACAACTTTCTACTCTATGTGGCCCAGCTGCGAGTCACACCCTATATTTTAAAGAAGTTGGACAACATGTGAAGATCATGGTTGAAGAGAGAAACTGTCATGTGAGAGCATGAACTTCAGAATATGGTTACAATTTCTCTTCCCATTTGCTAATAAACAGGCACAAAAAGATCTCCACTTACTAAGAACGAGTTTGACCTCAGTGAAAATGCTAGCAACTGAAAGAAAGCATGAAGTTTTTTTTCTCTTTGACACTGTTTGAGAAATGTTAAGCAGACTTCTTTGGTCTCACTCTCCTGTGTTGGTATCGTACAACCTTCATAAATTTTGGTTCAGTTGTAAATAGTTTTATCAACTACATTTTGTAGTGAATACTCATTGTAAGGGAGCTACCTCTGAAATTATCTCATTTCTTCTGTTGAACCTCCTGCCTCTGTGAGGAATATGCATTGTGAAAGATTTTCTTGTGATTACTTTTGTTGAAATGGATACCATTATGATAGCACAGTACTGTTAGTCTTCATTTTTAATAAATGTGCCATTTAAAAAAAAAACAAGACAAAGTTTGTTATAATGTTTCCACTTTGTTCATACTGAACCAACGGAGAATATTTCCATGTGGTATGGTCTCGAATGGTTTGGCAATATTAGTGATTCAGATCATTAAAAAAAATCTCTGCCCTTGTTCGAGAACCTATTTTGTAATATTGATCTAAGGAAAAGGTAGTCAAGACATTATGCAGTGTCCCTGACAATTGTGTCCTTTTAGAGGGATGAATGGTTATTATAATTCTTTAACTTTTATTGATGCTTTTTAAAAACACTGCCATCATTTTCCAGTACTATCTTCTAAATAGAATGATCTCTTGTAATGAAAAATGACAGTCAGCCAAAACAACTGATGTATTTTATCATGTCAGATAGTATATGCCTCATTCTATAACTGTAGCCTACCATGTCTCTAGTGAGAGGAGGGAAGTATGTCTCATCATCATTTTTCTAGGGTAAATTCCTCCTAATTCTTAAAGTAAATCATTTATCTTTATGTTGATATAAATAGAGGCAGCCTCATATGTAAACAGCCACTAAGGTTCTCATAAGGTATATGTAACCTCACAATTATTTCTCAGTGGTTGTTTGCTACCTCTGGCAAAATTGGTAATAATGGCTATGTCTTAATTTGGGCTTAAGGACCTAACCCTTTAACAGCTATCCCTCACCCCATTTCCTGATGAGGTCTCATAGGACTATTTCACCTATAACTTGGATTAGATTACATCTACAAAGCAAGGCTGGCATTTTTTCTGAGGATATTATGTTCCATCTGATTTCACTGAAAGGAAGAGATGGGAGCAAAGTCAAAGCAGAACTCAGTGGACAGTTATTATTGTATCTTACCTCCTGGAAAAGGGCAAAATGTTCAGGTTACTGTATTTCACATACTTCCCTTTTCTCTGTGTGCCTTTCCCTCTCAAATATTCTATCTGCATAGGCTTTCCTATTACAAAATGCAGACTGATGCATATTTTGGTTTAATTTGGTCTTAGCATTCCTCACAGGTTAATTCCTCCTTTTCACTTTGATATGAATTATCCCATTTTGCTCCCTTCTGCTAAGTACATGTGATTATATTTTTGGCCTTACAACTTCCTCTTAAGAGATCAGAGAGATTCATTTTATAATATTCACTTATCCACAAAGTCAGAGGTCTCAAGGCTTACTAAGATCATTAATAAAACCTTCTAACATTCCCTGTGGAAATGAAACTCCTTTAAATTTGTAAAATGGTTTAATGAAAGTCTGAGCAATTTACCTAAGTAAGTCAGTGGTAAATACCTGTTTGGAAGTCAGGAGCCTTGTTTATGAGTTTTTTTGGTAACATCTAAATAACACTTCTGTTTTACTTGTTTCACAATTCAATGTGATCTTAACAATACTTCAGTGAGAGTCTGCCACAAAAGACAACAGCACCTTTCTGTTCTGTAATGTGATGCCTATCTCTGCACATGCAAAGTGAATTCTCTATCAGCCTTCATTATGGAAATTCAATGGCTGATGAACTACTTCACAAGATCATAACAAACCAAATGAGTAAGTAGCCTTAAGTTTCTTTCAGCATTTTACCAATATTGGTTGCCCTTTTAATATTGCAGTTTAAATTTTGCTACAGTGGTTAAGGAGTGAATTTTGAAATCAGGAAGGCCTAAGTTTAAACATAAGGATGAGTAAAGCAAGCCACATGGGGAACTCTTTCCTTCTCTTTCACCCCTTTCTCAGCCCACTCCTAGATTCCCACCCCCAAACTTCTTTTCAATCCTCTAGTTCCCTGCTGACATTCCATGCTTACCACCACCCCCTCCATGGCAGGGATCCCAGAACATTGGCATTCTAAGTCCCATTCCCCACTTTACAATGGTAATGGACCCAGGTCTATCTAGCTCCCACATAGTCCCATCACTTTAGTGAACCAGGCATTAACAACTACAATCTTCTGTCAAGATAGAAGAGAAGGTGTTTTATACACTGAGTCAGCACAGAGGCTGGGCCTGATTCAGGTCAATCCCCAAGTTGTTTATCTTCAATAATGGAACAAAATCAAATATTTGGAGTTAACAAAAGGAAAGTTACTTAGCCATAATAGAACAAGGACATAAGATTTTGCATTGAGGATATCTGGAGTTGATTTCACCTAGTAAATCTCCCTTACCTGGGGTACCCATAGATTTCTGTCAGTCAAGTATCAGAGAGAGCTCCTGGAGTTCCTTGTGGCTATTTTATATGTAGGCAAAGAGGAAGTGATGTCAACAACCCGAGACTTTAGTCCTATAAACCAACTAAATATGGTCTCAATACCTTTTAAGGAAAAAACTAGTCTAGATTACATGGAGGTGGGGATTAGGATATTGTTTATACAAAACCAGTTTCCTTACCACTATCTCTCAAGAACCACTAGACCTTAACATCTGCCCTTTGCCGAAAACTTCAATATATTTTATCCCCTCTAGGTAGCATGTGTGAGCTCCTTGACCCCAAGAGCTGTTTAGTTGCATGTTTGCTTTTTATTTGTATGCCTAGTCCTTAGCATATAGTCATGTGTTTTTAAATTTATTTACTCATTCATAAACTGAACTAAATAAATTAGCTTATATTTTCTCAGTTTTATTAACCTTCATCAGGAAAAATTCAAGCATTACATATTACTTTAAGATTTGCAGACCTGGGGTAGCTAGGTGACGCAGTAGACAGAGCTCTAGCCTTGGAATCAAGAGGACTGAGTTCAAATCTGGCCTTGACACTTACTAGCTGTGTGACCCTGGGCAAGTCACTTAACCCTAATTGCCTTACAAAAAAAAATTTACAAACCTTTACATGTAATCTCATTTAATCTTCATAACAACCCTGTCTTATCCCCATTTTACAGATGGGGAAACTGAGTCTGAGAGATATTAAATGCCTTGCCAGTGTCTGAGGCAAGATTTGAATTTAGGTCTGCCTGACTCTAAGTTCAATACTCTAAGAAGATTTCATTCCCCCCCTCCCCAAATATAAGTAATCAAAGGATATTAAAAAGCAGTTTTCAGGCTATCAATAATCATATGAAAAAAGCAAAAAAATGAAAATTAAGACAATTTTAAAACTTAAAATGCAGAAAGAAGCATACATCTTTACACATGTCCACTGTGGGACTGTGTTTTGTTTGATTTTGCACATATACATTAAGGAATCAATTTTTCAGGTCTTAAAAATTTTTTGCTTAATGGATGGGGACAGAGTGGAAGAGATAGATAATATACAATATGTCCTCCTTTTGCTATAATCCCTTGTTTTACATAATTTGGCATTGTCATGAGATTTTGAAACATATGCTTTAATTCTTCATCACTAAACTGCACTTTTTCACATTGCATATTAAGAAAAACCTTTAGCTTTTATTAATTAATCTGTCTCTTTCTAGATCTTCTTGTTGGGTTTTATTGGTTATATATAGAAATTCTGAAGATTTAAGTGGCTTTATTTTATATCCTATATCTGCTACTTATTATCTGTTAAAAAGTGAAAATTTTGATTTATTTTTCCTATGCTTATTCCCTCAATTTCTTTTTCTTGGTTTATGGCTGTAGTTGTCATTTCTGCCACTATGTTAAATGGTAATGGTAATAATGGGTATCTGTTTTATCCTCTAACTTTTCCACATTTCATATGTTTGATATTTGATTTAGATGTGTTATTTATTATATTAAGGAAAAATTCATTTATTCTAATAAATTTTTAATAGAAACAGGTGTTAGATTTCAACAAAAGCCTTTTCAATTTATATAAATATATAGTTTTAAAATTATTTATATTATTAATTTGGTTTATTACATGTATAGTCTTTCTTGTGTTAAACTAAGTCTGTAATCCTGGTATAACCCAACCTGGTCATAGTGTATAATACTCTTCCTAAAATGTTGTTGTAGCTTACTTGCTAATATTTTATCTAAAAAATTTTAGTCAATTTTTATTGTGGATATTGGTCTACACTTTTCTTTCCCTGTATTATCTCTCCCTTATTTAGGTTTCAAAAACATATTTGTTGTATTATGAAAAGAGATTGGAAGGGTGACACCATTTTTTTTATTACAGTTTGTACAACTTTGGAATGAATTGTTCTTCTAATGTCTGATAGAATGCACTTACAATTCTATCTGGTCCTGGAAATTTTTTCTTTTGGCGGTTCATTTACAACTTGTTTAATTGCCTTCATATTGGGTTATTTCAACAGTCTATTTCTTTTGTAACAAGTTATTGATGCAACTTTTTTGCCAAAAGTTTGTGCATAAACTTTTAAGTTTTATGTAACCAGAATTGCCCATTTTACTTTCTATGAAATCTCTGTCTCTTGTTGGGTCATGAACACTTCTACTATCCAGAGACCTGATGCTTGCTCCTCTAATTTGTTTATGATTCCACCCTTTATATCTAAATCATGTATCTATTTGGAATTTGTCTTTCTATACAGTGTGAGAGGTTGGTCCATATGTAGCTTCTGCCAGATTGTTTTCCGGTTTTCCCAATAGTGTTAGTTGAAT